TGATACTGCTGTCAAGAGTTTCCTGAATAATGGTATTCATATCCTAACTTATCTAGTTTGATTCACTTATGATCTTTTGTTATTGGATGTCTGTGACCAATCCCCCTGCCCGATAGTATTGTGCCATGATAGAAGATCTAGGAGTGCTTGTATATACATGCATTAAATTACTGACGATACTCTATTAAAAGCAATAGATTGCTGAGGATATTCTATGATATAGCTAATATTATCCATCTGTGGTTCCTGCTACTGGTACTTCTGCTATGCTTGCTGGATGACCAAAATTTTGCCATCTGTATTCTTCGTGTTGGGTATGATAAGTATTCCTGAAGGGCCACAGCAGAGTTCTCTACCTGTTTAAAATATACTAGAAGTGGATTATTTCTGCTGAAACATCTAGGAATTTGATATAGTTGTATGTTTGAAAGGTGTTTGTAGATGATTGTCTTCTCTCTTGGATGTCTTTACTCAAGTTTTCTTGAGTGACTCTCATAAATTGGCTCAGATTTGACATAAGATTAATGCTCTCTTTAGTGTAAAAACTTGATATACAATAAGCAAATCTTTTTTACACCTAAAAGTTTCTTTGGGAATAGAATGAATTGGTCATTGTAAATCGGAGGAGGAACCCTTGGAAGAGAAAAGAAAGTCAAGCAGAGGAATTATGCAGTGTGACCTTTATGTTATCTTGCTGCAAGGGCATGTTTCTCTTAATTATAATGACCAATGGTTGGAAATGCAATCTATGTTCTTAACCCTCTGACTATAAGCCTAAGCCCCAGTCTATCTAAATAGCTAGCTGTTCAAATACATGCAATCAGAACACAAGCTTGGGCCTTAATTGAATGGTTGCTTTGCTCGTCATTATTTTAGATGGGTGAGATCTGTTTCTTGACTGCAATCCCACTTGACAAGATCTTTAGGATATCTTAATAAAAGTGAATTGCATGGCCTGCTAAATTAATTCGCTGATTGGTGCACTAGATACAGTGGTAATGCTGCAAATTGATCCCTGGAGGTCTTTTATCATCAAGAGCTACCACCTGTCGACATTATGAGATGACTTGATAAGATGAGGCTAGATATTGCATGCTGCACCTTGCGGAGTAAAGTCAGGATTGGCAGCACTTTAACCATATGCATGTAACTGTGAGTTAAAATAACTAATTGCTGAAGGCATTGTTTACTCTTTAATAGTTTTGTACATTATATATTATCTGCTATTGTCTGATTGTTTGTTGATCAGTAATTTATTAATGGCTATTGACTAACTGAGAGCTGCATAGGGATCTGTGAGGAGACCTTGAGCCAGAATGTCTTGTTGAGGTTGATCCTAACGAGAAGTAAATATCTCTTATAACCCAAGATTGGTAGTTTCCAATTGCTTTGGATCATGTGACCTCCTGTTCTGCTTTACGTAAAGTACACATGCAGGTCCTTTTATCAAACCCCATGCTTTTTAGGAATTTTCTCCTCTTGTAATTCTCGAGTCCCTAAGTCTTTGGTGCACTCTTACTCATACGGCCACTTTCACATCCTCTAAGCATCAATCTCTACTCTTTTTAGTCTTAATTTCCAAGGCTGGTTGCTGGTGTAACAACCATGCACACCCTTTTGAAGGTCCAAACGTGGAGTAGAAGCTCTATGCAGATGGATCTTATGAGTTGGGAGAAAGAAATTAGATTTTTCTTCTATTACCATATCTTTACTTATTTAGGGAAATTCAAACGAAGCACTTTTTTTCTTTTGTATTTTAATATGTATATTGTTGAACTTTAATTGTTTTATTATGAAGTTTTATTTCAAAATGTACGTTACTAATGTAAATTTCGTATAAAAAATTATTAAAAAATAAACTATTGGATATTTTTAAGTGGAATTGAAATTAACACATTAAAAATTTTGTTCTAATTGATGGAATTAAAAAGGCACTATCTTTATCATATTTAGAAAAAAAAAATTAGTGTAAATTTTTATAATTTTACAAGAGATTTTTATCATTTAATAGTTAAGATAATTGGTGAATTTTCAAAAATAAAAATCAAGAATGAAGTTCATTTGTTCAAAGCATAGCTTTAACTTAATAAAATTTTGTTAGCCCAAGCTGCGTTGCCCAAGTGGCGCCTTGCCCCTCGGCGACTTTCCATTCTTGAGTTTGATCTCGGTGTTGGTGAAGTGCTTTTGGAAAAACTATACTTCCGTGTACAATCCACGATCGGCATTTGCATGTTCACAAGAGAACCGTAAGCCTAGGGTTGTAATTTAGTTATATATATTGTGGAAAATAATGAAGATCTTGTTTATCAGAAGATGATTAGGCTTTGGAAAGTTTTGAGTGTCAGAGAAGGTTATGAAAGATTTGGGAAGGTGTAGGATCGAAAAGGTATATGGCTTGCGATCCTTTTGCTTCACATGTGGCCTTTTTCACTTACCTTGCGCAACACAGAAGGCATCCATCAATGGCCATGATTGGTCTTAAAAAAACGCTATTATGAGAAACGGATAAGCATCCAACTTTACATTTGTTAATTCAGTAGCAGCATTAGGCCCATTGACCCCCAATCACCCCGACTTCTTGTAATAATATATATCTCCAATGATTACTCACGAATGTCTCTCAGGTGACGGATTTTGGATCAATTAATCAATCGCAAAGAGGTTGGATTAGAATTAGATTTGCTCCTAGTAAACGAATGTCAAAATATCCTAATGAAAGAACTGCAATAAATTCAACATATTTTTTCTTTCAAAACATCTTTAGAATAACTTTGCTAGCTCAACGGAAGAGTCGTACGTTCAATCCGACGTCCAGGTGGCAGGTTTGGAGGCCTAAGATCCCATGCCGTTCTTTCAATCTGCTTTGGTATTTGGTTTCTCTGTTGTCCGTGTAATTGGGAGGCAGAAGATTTTAAGATAGTGGCATATAGATTCTGTCTTTTCCATATGAGCTGTAAGCTTTTGACTGGCTTTTTTTTATTTTATTTCTCTAAGCTTTTGGTAAGGACGAAAGTGCATGATCTCTATAGTCTCTAATATCACGTCTCTACCAATATCTTTCTCTTTATCTACTTACAACTAAAACTAAATAGCACTAGGTAATTTAGGGAAATCTCCCTTCTTGTCGGCAAATAAATAAAAGCATCTCAATTCTACTTTGCAGGTAAATATTTTATTTAATCTTTTTCGCTAATATGTAATTATTGTTATTATTTTTTGTAAAAAATGATAATTTACTCGATCTGTAATATGATATATTCTAAAATCTTTTTTTTTTTTTTTTGTGTTATCTTCTTCAACCAACTGATAAAATGCTCGCTAATTTAGTCAAAATGTGTTACAATCATGTTTTTGTTAATTTTAATACGTTAGTTATATTTTTTCTAATTTGGCCAACAACATAAATCCAATAATGCAAACTTGGCTAATAGGCGTGGGCGAATAAATTCAAATGACATGTCAGTTTAATAATTTTTCTTTTGATAATTCAGACCGAACAATATGATGGTTTCATAATTTAGAAAATCTAAAGGAGCCAATAAAAATTTTCAACTTAGCACTAATTATGTCGCAGGCTGCATGAGGTTGGGTTGCAGCACCGACGCGGTGAAGGCCCCCCAGTGGCAGTGCTGGACAAATGCTACCTTCCGACTACTCTCGATCCTCTTTTGGATTTTCTTTTCCGTTTCGAATTTTAATGCCCCTTCTCTCTACTAAATACTATATAAATTATGTATTAGTTAATTTTGAAAAAAATTACTAACACAAAACGACAACAAATAACTCCTAGCCCAAAAAAGGAGAAGTGAAAGATTAAAAGAGAGGGGAATTGGTTCAAAAAGAAAAGCACCCAGACCCAGCAGCTGGTCCACAGCCTTAATTAATGCCCCTCTTGTAGATTCAGTCTATTTGTATTTATTTTGTTATTCTTCCTAACACCTGAAAAAACCCATAAACTTGTCTCAACCTGATATTATAATAAAACTTTCTTTGGTTTGTAGCTGTAAACATATTTTCGGATCAAATAGATTTAATTAGGGATAAAGTATGATAATAAGAGTGAATTAAAAGCTAAAGAATCAAATTAAGAAAGAGTCTCTTATCACAATCAAAAAGAAAAAAAAAAAAAAAGCCCTGCTTTTCCTTTTCTTCTATCACCATGAGTGGGACAGTTGTTAACAGCTGCACTAATTTTTTCTTACCGACTATAATTAGCACATTTCTTGATTTCTTGGCTTTTCAATAAGAAATCTTATGAATCTTGAATTTAAGTCAAGGATAAGAAATGGGTAAATATAAAAAACACAAATATTTTATTAATTCATAAATAAACAGATTAATTGCTTTGAATTATGGACGGATCAACTAAGGAAACGCTCGTAAGAATTCGTTAAGGCCAAGCAAAAAAAAATTATGTTTCAACAGCATAAATGAGTTAGAATATCGTATGTGATTCACATTTTTTTTTAAATTTTATTTCTGACAGAAACTTAAAATTAAACAAATTAATTTAATCCGTATTTAATGATTATTTTAGCTTTAAATCTCTAATTAATAAATTTTATGAAATTTATTTGTAAAAAATAAATCCGTAATGTTGTATGGAATTGTTAGTGCAACACGGCAGCATTCAAATTTTTTGTTGATAGATGGATCAATTAATAGAAGACGGCCGGGGAAAAATAAAGTTTGTATTTTTATGCAGACATGGGGCCCTGTAAGAGTTAGGTGTATATTACTATAATGATTAATGAAACGCAGAGGTACAAGAATTTGAAGAATTTTTTTTTTTTTTTTTTTTTTTTTTAAATTTTAGTGGAGAATGAGGTGATTTTATTAGAACAAAAAATCTTTTTAAGAAATTGTTTAGATTCCTTCATGGCGTCAAGACTGTTTCCCCTGTTTATACATCCCAGAGACAAGTCCCCACCTTGCTTCAAAAGTTTGTTTCTTGGAAGCCACTCTACACCCTACCATTTCCTTCTCGCTTCATATAAATGCACCCTTCTGAAAGACTATGCCTGTTACATTGAACCCTTCCACTTCAAGCCATCTCTTTCTCATTTTTAAACCTTCTTTTCTTTTTCTCACGTTTTCTTGACTTTCTTTGGCTTTACAGATCTCCATCTTCTTCTTTCATCCAACTGTTCTTCATATTCTTGCGCATGAATAATGTCGTCGTTGAAATTGTTCTAGACTCAAATTAATTGGTTCGATTTGAACCATTTCTTTATCGGTGCATATCTTCTTCTAGTTTCAAATTCGAAAGAAGCAGAGACGAACATGGCAGAATTAAGAAAGTATCCTGATGCGGGTTGTGGCCCTATAACGGGGATTTTCAAGCGGTGGAGCTACTGGCAGAGGAAGTCATCAGTACCTTTCTTGCCTGCAAAGAGTAGCAACGGCGTCGTTTCGAAGCCTCGGAGCAAGCCGCAACAAAAATCCGTTGAGACTGCTCGTCATGAGTCCTCCAATTTGGCTAAACCTTCAAAGAAGCAAGAAGAAAAGTTGACCAGGAAAGCCAACTTAGTGGAACCTCGGATTTCAACTACTTTCCGTCATGAAGGCCACAGTCATAGAAGACTTTCAGATGCCGCTCGAAGCTCATCGTCTTCCTCTTCTTCTTCAGTTCAACAGAGAATGCAACGAACCCATGATTCGCCCAATGAACAGAAGTTGAAGAAAGAGTCTCCGGGTGGCTCGGCAGAGCTTACCAGGATGATGAACACAAATGATCATCACCAACATTCAAATGACAAAAAAGCTCTTGTTCGAGTTACTTCAAGCCACATAATGCTCTTAGGTAACTTGAACACTAACTGTCCTAGTTCAACTCCTAAGACTGTGGATTACCTTCAGAAGAACACGCAACAAGTCACAAGCTGCATGTCTAAACCCAGATACGGACATAGTATACCTGGCATTAATGGTGTCATGGGCAATATAATACGACAACCCAGTGACGAGTTTCAACAATGTCGTGGTCTCATGAGTAGGTTGGATCCAGAAACGTTGAAAAAGATGGGAAATGAAGCATACAAGCAAGGCAGGTTCCAAGAGGCATTGGATTTCTATGAACGAGCAATTGCTCTTGATTCGAAGAAGGCAGCATACAGGAGCAACAAGAGCGCAGCTTTGATTGGCTTAGGCCGGCTTACTGAGGCGGTGTTTGAGTGCAAACAGGCTATTCAACTCGACCCGACTTATCAAAGAGCTCATCATAGATTAGCAACACTTTATATCAGGTATTCATCAGATAGGAGTAGGATTTTGCTTTGTTTAATCTAGAAGGTCTTTGGCCTCACTTATTTTAGAAAAGCAATAATCTGTTATCAGCTTTCTAACAAGTTATATTATTGTGTCAAGCAGACTGGGAGAGGCAGAGGGAGCAATTCATCATTATAAACAAGCAGGCAAACTTTCTGATCGTACAGACATTTCCCATGCTCGAGATCTTCAAGAACGCTTGATTAAATGCAATGAGGCTCGAAAATTAAATGAGTGGAATATTTTGCTGAAGGAAACAAAGTCGGCTATTTACTCTGGAGCCGATTCCGCTCCTCAGGTTAGCTTCTGTTTCTTCATATGTACTTTCTAGAGAACTGTCAGGATTATTCAAATTTCTGTGCATGCTTACTCATGATTCTTTTTCAAATTATTGCATCAAGATCTATGCCCTGCAAGCAGAGGCTCTACTGAAGCTCCATAGACATCAAGAGGCCTACGAGTCGTACCTGAAGGCACCAAATATTAGCATAGAAATTTATATCAAGCTTTTTGGCCTGGCTGTTAGTTCTTATATTCTGATGATTGAAGCAGAAGTTTACATGGCTGCTGGAAGGTTAATGAGAAAAATTCTTTTTTCTTTTCCATTTTGAGTCTGTGAATGACTTAATAAAATAATCTGCAAATCTTGGCTGCCCTAAGCAGTTGCTACAAATTGTTTTGATAATTAGGTTTGACGATGCGGTGGCAGCAGCGCAGCAAGCAGTTCGGATTGATCCAAGCAACAGGGAAGTAAATACAGTGGTTAAGAAGACAAGAGCTGTGGCATCAGCTAGATTAAGCGGTAACTTGCTCTTTAAGGCATCAAAGTTCAGTGAGGCCTGCATTGTATACAGTGAAGGACTAGAACACGGTCCATACAACTCAGTTTTGCTGTGCAATAGAGCTGCATGTAGATGGAAACTAGGCCAATTTGAAAAGGCTATCGAAGATTGCACTGCAGCTCTCGAAGTGCAAGCTTGTTATAGCAAGGCCAGACTGCGGAGGGCAGATTGTAATGCCAAGGTGAAGCTCTGTCCCTTGAAATTCCAAAACATTTTTTGGGTCATTACTTAATGGTTCACTGAATCAATGTAGCTTCTTTTTGTCTTAGTTGGGAAGATGGGAAGCTGCAATTCAAGACTATGAGATGTTGATTAGAGAAAGTCCTGGTGATGAGGAAGTAGGCAGAGCCTTGTTTGATGCCCGAGTGCAGCTTAAGAAACTACGCGGTGAAGATGTTAAAGACATGAAATTTGGGTTCAATATGGTCTCGATCTCCAGCAATGAACGTTTTAGACACTTTGTAACATCACCTGGTAAGTCATTAATTAACACCTCAACTAATTTGCCTCTCTAGTTCTGTGAAAAAAAAGGCCAAACGATTCTTGAATTCCAAGATTCATGTCACCAAGTTCTAGCAGTCTCACATACTCAGAATATGAATAAGTACGAAAGCCAAGAGCTAGTAGTATTGGTGCTAATAGAAAAATTGCGAGCAATACTCGGTTCACAAGTTTTCTGGTTTCTGTGCGTCTGAGAAATCTGAGATAAATATATGTTTGTGTATAACATAAAATCTGTGGTGGAAGAATGGCAGGGATGACGGTGGTATTATTTTGTAATAAGGCCAAGCACAAACAAGTATGGCAACTTATGGAGCAAGTCTGCAAGAGATTCCCATCTATCAATTTCCTCAAGGTTTTGTATCATCTGCTAATTAAGCATCAGAAATCATTTTTATGCCAAGCTTAAACGCCTAATTGAAGAGACAAAAAAAAAAAAAAAAAAACGCACCCTTAAAATAAATGGACAGAAAAACATACAAAAAGAGATTTTTAAATCAATAATTTGATAGATCGAATTGTGATAATGAATACATTTTATGTTAACCATGTTCAGGTGGAGATAGAAGATCATCCATATTTGGCAAAATCAGAGGGTGTGAACTCCGTCCCATCCTTCAAGATATACAAAAATGGATCTCGAGTCAAAGAAATTCCTGGCAACAACCGTGATTTGTTAGAAAGATCTGTTAAATTGTACAGTACTTGAAGATCAAAACAAGGTAGAAAAAAGAACAAATGATTGAAAAAAAAAGGAAAGAAAAAAGAAAAAGAACCCACAAGAAGAAAATAATATATAATTATATAAGTGGGCAGTCTCATCTGGCCGTATGAAATGGCCAGCATTGCAGATAAATGAGAGAATAGATTTAAAGGAAAAGAAAAAATAGAGATTGGGCTTTGCTTGATGACAACTTTTTTCTTTTCAACAAGAAGAAACAAAGAGTAATAATAACAATAATAATAATAATTACTTGTCATTATGCTTGTGATTAAGATTCTTAATTAAATGTTTATGTTGTCCTTTACTCGCTCCATGGCCTACCATTTTGTGCCCACTTACAAGCAGATTACAGGTTTAGAGTGCATAATAGGATTTACCCTCTAATGATAAGATGACAAAAATTCAATCGAACTTTGAGAGAGTAATAATTAAGCAGATTCTGATGTCTGATAGAAATACTGATGTATCTATCATCTATGAGAAAACATGTTATAATTTTAGTCTAGACTATGTCAATTTCTGAACATCTTATTAGATATTTATCTGGGCGACAGTCGAAATAATATCTATTATGTTTTACTAATTCTGACATGGTCGCCAAGTTTCCTACGGAAAAATGGCTGGATCATTTTTAATGTTCCTATTATCTTCGCTAACACGATATCTCTACGATCAACCTCAATAGATTTTTACTCCTGTACAAAAAGAAAAGCAACTTCAGCAAAGCCTTTGTCCGTCTAATTATAATAGCCATTTGAGGCCGGGGCCTGCCTGGATCTGGACTTACCGGGTACAACTCAGGAGTCTGGCTAATGAGCTTTTGAAGGCTGAAGACTAGTTATATGGGCTTCTTGAATCCAAAGTTAGTCAGCTCCAGTCAGATTGACCCATAGAATGGCTGCTTCTTAAGGGCTTGTTGAACGTAAAGTTAGTCAGGTCCACTCGTCAGCATGGCCGCAGGAATGTTTTAATGGAATTTTAACGGTCAAACGAATTAACTTATCCTAATTCGACATCCTCTGTACAACATTATTCCATGTGAAAATATAATATGGGCTTTCAAATTAGCCCAGCATTTATATGGGCTAGTTTAATTGGGCCACTAGCCACCAATTTTTTTATGCCATATACCATTATATGGATGTTGCAAGTAAATTCTACTGTTGGACTTGGGCATTCAAAATCTTAGAAGATCATGAATTTTTTAAAAAAATTACGTAAATATAAAAGGATTTATATTAGTATAATTCTGAAACAAAGATCATGTAAGTACATAAGCAAATTCAGCACAATAATTAATAATTTACATGGCAGCGAAATCTGTCGCAGGGAAAGAAGATCCAGAAGATGTCTGTACATTATGTGTCTCGTGCACAAGTTCAAATGACGGTGACTATGACCAAAACAACCAGAAGTTTTTACTTAAAAGCCAGTGCAGGGCGACGACTAGGTCTAAATTTCCCACTGCACAGAACCCAGATGATAGAAAAGAAAACAAAATCTTTAAAAAACGTTCAAGAGAGAAATGTTTTAAATTGTTTCAGACCCAAAGAAACAAAATTTTTTTTAAAAAAAAAGCAGTGGCCAGGACCATCGTCATCATCTTTTCCAGCTTCGGCTCCTGGATAGTGGATCTCTCATCCCACCAACCACCCAAGTCTCCTTCACAACGTCTGATGAAAATTTGTAGAAATCAGTGTCATACCTCATCACGACTAAGCTCTCTTTCTTCTTTCTCATCGTCTCTTCTTCCATTAATGACTTCAAATCCTTTCCTTTCTTCATCTCTTCTTCCTTCTCTTCTTCAGCATCATCTTCTTCATCTTCTTCCTTCTCTTCTAGCCAGCTCTTTGCTGGGGCAGACCTACACCGCATAAGTAAAAGAGCATTTGGAGGGGGAGCAGCAGGAGTTTCGTGTTCAAAAGCAGAGTCTCTATCATCAAAACCGGACCTCTCTTTCTCTTTCTTCTGACTTTCTTTATTGCTTTGATTTTCCTGTAACACCATAAACCACTTAGAGAATACAGTCCTTGAAGTCTCGTCGTCATTATGATTCTCATGGTTTTCTTGATCATACTCTCCATCTTCTTCGTCTTCGTCTTCATCGTCAGTGCTAGCGATGACTTCCGAATGAGGGAATGCCCCGAAACAACGAAGATCGAAACGAATGCTGCGTAAACATGTCAAGAACTGCAATATTTCCTTCTTGAAACCAAACGCTTCTATCCAGGTTGGCCGCTTCTTGCGTTGCCTGCTGTTGTGAATCCTCTCAATCTCCTCCATGACCGATTGCCAATTCTTGCAGGAGCTAGTCTTGGACCTGACCTTGATCTGCCCAGCGCAGGTGACTTTTGGGGACGTGGGTTCTGAGATTTCTGAACTCATTTGTTTGTTTTTGGCCCAGAGGAGAGGGCTGGCCTGGCCGGCGCCGCAGCCACCCGTTCTGGTGCTTAATTTCTTGAGGTGGTGGTGGCGGCGTTGGGGGTGGTGTGAATGGCGTTTTCTGGGCTCTGATGGCCTGGCTGGGCTGCAAATGGGCTTGGGCATTAGCGCCAAATGGGCTCGAGATGGGAAACATACTAACAAATCTGCACTGGGAGCTGTTCTGTTAGCTTCTCTTCCTTTCATTGTCGATGGTGCTTGATTTCTTCTTTTCTTGGCTTCTTTTTAATCCTCCGGAGGGATTTTGCAACTGTATGCTTCTGGGGCTTATGAGGAGGGATCGGGTGCCATGAAGGTTTCTTCTGCTTTTCAATTGATTTTAAAATTAAATGAAAGGAGAGATAAGGGGACTTTGACAGCTTTGATTGCTGCTACTTTTTAGCCTTTTTAATCTGTGTGTAATGTCTATCTGACTTTACCATCTGTTTCTCTTTAATTTTCTATAACTCCTTTTTTGTCTCTCTGAGATGGGGTCACAAGGGAAGCAACCTTCTTCTTTAAGCCTTTTTCTTTTATTTTCCTTTCTCCTTTTTGCTATAACGTGACCCTTGAGTATTTTTTTCCTCGTTTCCTTCACAATTTCATTTCGAAGGAAGTTCCTCTTCCATCCCTTATGCCAAAATACTTGATAAACAGATAAAGTTAAGTATAACTTTTAACTTTTAATATGTTATCTTAATATGTTCAAAGTTTAAATTTATAGATAAAAAATTTGCAATGGATAACATAATATAACATACTATTAAAACAAAAGCAGACATCTCAATTTACAGAATTTAATTTTTTTTAAAAAAAATACTAACCGATTTAAATTAGAACGAAAAGAATCTTGTGC